ACCAAGAACCCTCCAGTTTGGGACTACAATTCCCATCTTCCCCAGTCAGCATGATAGCTGTGCACAGAGGCCAGTGCAGTCCAACTTCATTGCATCAATCTATGAATGACTTAACTCCACTCTGTGAACAGGCAGACTCTTTTTTAGAAATGTTGAGTTTGCCTGTTGCTCTTCATCATGCTTGCTTGTGGATAAAAGCCACCACACATGTTTATCTGTGTGACTCTTTTACTCCAGATTTTAACGCAGCTCTTCATAGTGTCTTTAGCATATTTATAACCACACCATTTCCCAAAGTGGGCTGGACAACCTGACAATGCATTAAAATGGGCATTCCTCAAACAAATTACTATTTTGTCTGTCATATAGATGTCATTGATTCTACCACACTCTATTGTGACATGAGGCACACAAACAAACAAAAAATCTCTGTGGGTTTTGCCTGTCTCTCCATTTACATACTTAGCACTGGACCTCTGAGAGCCAGAAAGCAATCCTGGATCAGTCAAGGCTATGACAAACTGAACATTTTTCCAAAGCCTATGCACCTTGTTCCTAACTTATCCGGTGCATGCCGAAAACTCCCATTATCACTGCAAAGAGTAATAACTTCGGCCGAATAAATTTTATCTGATTTCAATCAGTAGGTGGAGATGCAAGGAGATGCTTCATTAAGAAGTAATGTGCAGAAGAGGGACGCGGGTGGCGCTGTGGGTTAAACCACAGAGCCTAGGACTTGCCGATCAGAAGGTTGGCGGTTCGAATCCCCGCGATGGGGTGAGCTCCTGTTCCTCAGTCCCTGCTCCTGCCAACCTAGCAGTTCAAAAGCACGTCAAAGTGCAAGTAGATAAATAGGTACCGCTCCGGCGGGAAAGTAAACAGTGTATCCGTGCGCTGCTCTGGTTCGCCAGAAGCGGCTTAGTCATGCTGGCCACATGAGCTGGAAGCTGTATGCAGGCTCCCTCGGCCAGTAAAGCAAGATGAGTGCCACAAGCCCAGAGTCGGTCACAACTGGACCTAATGGTCAGGGGTCCCTTTACCCTTTACCTTTAATGTGCAGAAACAACTGACTCCAACATGAACAATAAAAGAGTTGCCATTAATCATAGGTACCTACAGTATATTTTATTTTATTTATTGAATTTATATACCACCCTATACCCAGAGGTCTCAGGGTGGTTCACATAAATGATCACAATATATAAAATCAAAATAAGAACAATAACCCAATAACACACACACACACACACACACACACACACACACACACACTTCTCCAGTCGTATATTTCCAGAACAAAAGAGCAGGATCCTATGGGGTTCCTATTATATGGAATAATAGGAGAAGGGGCAAGTAAAAGTAATTGGCGAATACCGTTCTGGAGTAATCGCCTATATATGCCATGTATACTTACATAGGCGCCAACTCTGTGGGGCCCTGGCACCCCCACATTTCCTGAAAGTTGGTATCTCCCGCCCTTGGGCAGCCTGCACCCAGTTAGGTGTGCTCTACAAAAGTGTAGGGAAGCAGGAAGAAGAATTCCTCCCTGCTGTAACAGTCATATCCACACTCGAGCAGCTTTCCTGAACTTTCATTCAATTCTTCACTTACTGCTCAGGTTCTTGTCTCAGTCCACCTGCAGCAATATTCACCTACAGCAGGCTTTCCCAGACTTGGGTCTTCAACTGTTTTTGGACTACAACTCCCATCATCATTAGGTATCAGGAGCAGTGGTCAGGGATAATGGGAATTGTGGTTCGAAAAGAGCTGGAGACCCAAGTTTGGGAAACGCTGATCTAGAGCAACAACCAGTGGCTCTTGTAGGAATGTCCATACATGCCTGCATCTTCCAGCCAGGTCCAGATGAACATTGCAATTCAGACGACCACCTGGATGCACAAACAGAAGTCTGCTTCCAGAGTGCCATCTATTTTGTCAGATTTCCACTGTGGCTAATCATTTTGTATATGCCTGGTTTTACATGCTGAGGGAAATCTTCCTTTTTTCCAGTAAACACGCCAACAGTGTATGGCATCTGTGGAAAGGGCAAAAGTGAGCCCAACTTGCCAGAAGTTAAGCAACAGGTTTTTCCCGAAATGCTTCTTTTCATTTTGAAGGGCAGCTTCGCTCACAAAACAAGTGGCTTAGCAGCTTTTTGAAGCCTGTTTTATTCTAGGATTTAGATATCTTTGACCACATGGTTGCACTGTAGTCCTAGATTGCCTCCTGGAATTGGAAGCCTTGGAGCAGAGATGGGAAGCTATGCTATGCTATGCTAATTTCAGTGCCTACTACAGACACATTCTCATTGTCAAGAATTCCCTGCAGATAAGAGCAAATGAGATACCAGGGGAATTGTGCTTGCCATATTCTTCTGGTCTTGAAATAATGCTGTTTTGCAAATGTCCAAGGCATTTCACTTCATAGTGTGAGAGCATAAAAAGCGAGATATGCAATGACTTCTACTTGGTTGGAATGAGAGATTAGCCTGAAATCAAAACTGTCTGTGCTGATATATTCTGGTTATATGTAATTACCTCATGTGCTGTAGGGAGATTAGAAAAATTCCTGTAGAGTGAAGGCAGGAACGGGGGGGCGGGGGCGGGGGGAGGAGCTGCTTTGGGAGCTCAAATCCAGGGCCATGTTTTAGAATAAATACAGGCCTAATAGTTTGTTAAAGAGCACATTTTTTACATTGCGCTTTTTAAAAGTTCCACCCTTAACCAGATGATTTTCTTGCCTTTTCTTTCTTTTCTTCTGCAGAAAACATTGGCTTCCTGAATTACAAACATATATTATATGCACTGGATTTGAGCTCTATTTGAAGAAGAAATGTTTTATGCCTCCCACTCACCCCCCAGACACCTGCACTTCTCATTAGCTTAGTCTTCTTCATTTTGTATCTCGGCTTCCACTAAATTGGCTCCGACAATCTGGTGGTTTTGAAAACCAAGCGGAGCAAGCAGGGGGGACTAGTCTGAAAGTGAGAGATAATTTCTGAGGTTATGAGGAAGCTCCATGCTTGGGGAATTTAGCATTGCTGAAGCATTGATCTTCCATAATCAGCTGGAAGTGCAATTATCATTGTGGTTAAATGCACAACAATATTGCAGGCTTTTCCTCTTAATGTCCTGAAATACATGCATGGGCAGCCAGTGGGCCACAGGCAACCCTTGATCACTCTCATTGAGGTCCATCATGTGCCAGGCAGCCCAGCCCACCTCTTCTCTGCTGCCCCGAGAAGAGATTGCTGGAGAGTGGTGGCTTTAACCTGTCCCACCCAGCAATTCTAATGCAGCAAGATTGCACTGCTAATGGCACAGAGACAGCAATCCTTTGTACACTGTGATCGCTGTGGGAGCCCGGTTAACTCCTCCAGCACTTCTGATCGCTGTCCCTGCACTGCTATTGGCTGTGTGAGGATAGGAAATGTGGTTGCACTGGGAGGAAGAAGGTAAACACGTGTGTGTGTGTGTGTGTGTGTGAGAGAGAGAGAGAGAGAGAGAGAGAGAGAGAGAGAGAGAGATGGAAGAATGTTGTGTGTATATTCAAGAGAGATGGAGGGCAGGAGTGGAGAAGGTTGTGTGTGTAAGAGAGTGGTTGTGAGGCATGGCCAACCCAATACATTTAGTGTCCTGGGCAAAGGACAAGATGGTGTCCCTCATTCCATATACAGAAGCAGACCAAACAGTCTGTTGACAATGGCAGACTTCGGGCATTCAAATCTCAGTGCAGTGCCAAAATTTGGCGCCCCTTTGCCTCTCACACTCCATTCTACAGCACTGTTGTGGCGCCCCCTGCAGTGCAGGGTCCAGTGTGACCAAAACCAGTTCCGCTACCCTAAAACCGCCTCCGCTGTTGATTCGTCCCTTCCAGCAGTGGCAACAGAGTAGTACCGTCCAGTGAACCTAAGGGCAGCTGCCTAGTTTAGGGGGGCCGACATCGCACATGTGATGTCCTGATGCCACACATGTGCCATTAGGATGTCGCGAAGAGCTGAGTGTGGAGCCAAACATGGCAACCATGCAATTCAATGACTGGCAAGAGGCTGCTTCAACCCACCTTCCTCTCCAGGACTGGAGGAGGAGGAGGAGAAGGAGAAGGAGAAGGAACTGGCCACTGGAAGCTCTGCACTTTTGGGACATTGGGGGGCGGCCCCTACCCCAAAAACATAGGGACCCTAAAAAAAGGCTTGTCCCCTAGCAGCCTGTGCCCCTGGCAGTGCCTTATCTGAGGAATGCCATTGCTGGACAGGGATATATGGGACAAGATGGCTTTTTGGCTATCCCTGGTCCAAGTCCACAGGCCGCTGATATCCTTGTCAGTGAGATATGCCGTGAAGGCCTGGCACATGTACCAGGTATTCCTTGGCCTCCCATGATCTTTCGATCCACCCCATCTCACAGAGCGAGGCTAGAATGTGGGTGCATCCCATGCGTGCTGCCTCAGGAAACACAGAAGGAGGTAGGAAACACAAATGTGATTAACACAAAGAGCAGCTAAGTGAATTTTCGGCTTGAGATCTGAAGCGGGGAACCTTTCCCCTCAAACAGGAAAGTTGCCCCGAACTTCCTGCCTGAGGGAAGGGCACAGAGGTGAGGAATCTGTATGCTGTTGAATCCTCAGCCAACTCAGCATGGATTATGGGAGCTGTGATGTAGGAACCTCTAGAGGGCCTCAGGCTTGCTGCTCCTGGTTTAACATGCTGAGGCAAACCATATGCACACTGTGTGGATGCTTTTTGGACAACTTTGTGTAGAGGTCCCATATTTAACTGCCCTTTCATTGTGATTAAAAAGCAAAGTCCCTATGGCAGTGTTGTTCTGGCAGAGTTACTGGCTGACATGAAACAGACCAGCAGAGTGCAGTAGCAGCCTTTCTAGGAGCTGGTGCTTAAATCTCCTAACATGGCATTCTTCCTCCTACTTAGATGTGTGATCCATATCTCCATGGAGAGGAAACCAGTCACTTTCTAAGTTTAGACTTTTCCCCTGCTTAGTATTCCCTGCATGCCCTGCAGTGAAGGCATAGAGAATTGCAAAACTTGCTGATGCTCCTCTCAGAGGTCTAATGAGACTGGCCTCATGAACTGAAGGTAAGTTCCATTGTTCGGGGGGAAGGTAAGTTCCATTGTTTAGGGGGGAAACCCCAAACTTTGGTGATTACACTGAATGCATTGAAGACTCATGTCTTGAAACATCTGAGGAGGATGAGGGTCAGGGTCAACAAATGATGTGGTCTGGGATTGGGGGCCAAGTAGAGTCCCAAGGGCCAGATATTTGGCACCAGAGACAGAGGTTCTCCACACCCACACCCACACCCACACCCACACCCAATAGCCTTACAGAGCAATCCTAAGCATGTCTACTCAGAAGTGTTCCATTCCGTTCAGTACGTATAGGATTGCCGTCTTATACATCATTCATTTATTATTACAAATGTTGCAGGGTCATTGAAGAGGAGAGCATGTGCAAACTTCCCTTTCTCTACCAAGAAACCGCAGCCTGCTTCGAATGCAGAGTTGCGCTTTCCCAACAGATTTGATCATCTGCTCACACTCCCCCCACAACTGCAATTCCTTTTCAAAATAAATATCCATATAGATGCAAGTTCAGGTTTTTGTTGATGCAATCGTAGCTTCCTTACTGAAAAATAGATGTCGTTTAAATAACAATTCCCCACATATAAAGGTTCGTTCCAGTCGTCTGGGCACTAATTCCGATTTTTATCAGGTTGGTGGGCAAAAATCCTGATCTTATAAGGGCAAGTTGGGCAGAAACAGGTTTGACTTTCTCTGAGCAAATCCCTGCTTTGGACCTGCACCTGATAAATGCAAGGTCCAAGTGGGCAATTGCTACTCTCATCACAAAATCCTAGTTAAGTTAACTCAGAAGTAGTTCAGATTTGCATATACATAGGACTGCAGCCTACAGTGCTTTCTGTTTTCTCTTCAGAGGGAATTCGAATCCATGCATTTCCTAAACACACACCAAATGGAGCAGACTGGGAGAGAGGTTAGGTGATGTTCCCATGTAACACGATCCGGAACTCATGGCAGTGAATGAACATCTCTGTATTAGGGCCATTTATTTTTATTAACAGCAGCAACAACATACCCTTTAAACATCTTTTCATTCAGACTATTCAAAGCATTTAGATTAGTAATTCGGTTCTTTCCTATGCATGACCGAAACTCATTTTTCTCCAAAATTAGGCAATCATAGCGAACACAAAGTGCAGATGATGTAAATTAATATTTGTACAGTATCAGATCATCTGGCATTAAATCAATCCGAAGCTATAAAGGTCAGGTGCTTGTTGAACACTATAGCTGGATTTCTCGCTCACAATTAAAACAGTAAAGCAAAGCTTTGAATCATATTAGATTGATATTTAGTTTAACTCAGTACCAAAGGCCTTAGCCAACAGCCAGGGTCTCAGCAAAGATCCCTCTAACACCCATCTACACCCATTCTAATTAGAGATTAGTGTTTGGTGTCTTCTAGATGCAAAGTGTATAATTAATAAGTGATAATAATAATAATATATTATTTATACCCTGCCCAGCTGAATGGGTTTCCCCAGCCATTCCAGGCAGCTCCCAACAGAATATTAAAAACACGATAAAACATTAAAAACTTCCCTAAACAGGGCTACCTTTAGATGTCTTCTAAAAGTCAGTAGTTGTTTATTTCCTTGAAATCTGGTGGGAGGGCGTTCCACAGGGCAGTCGCCGCTACCAAGAAGGCCCTCTGCACTGGACCTCACCCCTGGCTGAACGATGGGAGTGGAGACGCTCCTTCAGGTATACTGGGCCAAGGCCATTTAGGGCTTTAAAGGTCTGTACCAACACTTTGAATTGTGCTCGGAAATGTACTGGGAGCCAATGTAGGTCTTTCAGGACCAGTGTTATATGGTCTCAGCAGCCACTCCCAGTCACCAGTCTAGCTGCCGCATTCTGGATTAGTTGCAGGTTCCGGGTCACCTTCAAAGGTAGCCCCACATATACTATATGAAAGCCAGCACAAACCATTCTATAACCAATGTGGTCTCCAAATCATTGGCGTCGCTGCATGCATCTCTTCACTTTCTCTCATATATCTGAATGGTTGTCATTATTACCTCCAGGGAAAAATATCTCTGTACTTGGAGACACTTTTGCAGCAATACAAAAGCTGCCCTGCAAATGGAACGACCCTCAGCTGACGCGGTGAGATGTGTAATGCACCTCAGTACACAAGGCACACAAAGATACACTAGGATGCCGCCACACACACACACCTTGAAATTCCCACTGTCTATTTGCAACATACAAACAGTTCCTCCATAAGCAACTGCCCTCCCCACATCAGGGACTTGAGTTGGTATTAGCTGAAAGAGAGCATTCCATTTCAGCATTAATTGGCTGGCTTGCTTGCTTGTTGACATTTATGGCACTCCATATGGCTCCAAGGGATCCCTTAGGGTGGCCAACAACATGCCATAGAGCAATAATAAAACCCATTAAAAAGTAATAACATTAATCAAGGTAAGCAAGGCAGGGGGAGGTGAACACGGCAATGCTAAAAACCAATAACAAAGCCAATGAAATAACCAAACCGATTTTGTATATTCTTGATACAGTAAGAAAAACTAAGGATGCCCCAGAGGAGGGTGGAATAAAATGATGTTTACCGGTTTTCTTTAAAAGGGGGACAGAAGGGGGCCCATCAAACATCCTTGGGAGGAGAGATCCATAAGAAGGCTGGTGCCATGCAAATGGACAGCCTAGTATCAGACAATGTCAGAAATCAGAGCAAGTCTCTAATGGCCGTATTGCAAGGATGGGGAACCTGTGGCTCTTCATGTGTTGGTTAGGGATGATGGGATTTGCAGTCCAGTAACATCTGGAAGGTCACGGCTTCTGCTCCTCTGTTGGGAGGAGGAATACCACACCTCTGTGGAAGGCCACAAAAAGTAACACTCTCACACTTTGAGCTGGCAGCGTTTGCCGACTCTTAACACAGCTCTGTCATAGCCATGTTTTCCAAAGGACTCACAGTTTGACCTCTCTGAGAGGCCCTCTTTGTACATTGTCTAAGGAAGGACATTCAGAACAGAATCAGGAACAGAATCAGTAAGAGTGAATTTGCAAACCCTCTTTCCAACCTACATAATTTTGGGAAAGAACACAGTCTAGTGAAATTTCAGCTCCATTTATAGTGCCAAGTTCTTTCGGGTAGGGTTTGAAAACAACAGGGAGTTGTGAAGTTTTAATTTAAGGCCAAATACAGATTGTAGCATACAGAGGATAAATCAAAAACCAAAGACACCTTTCCCCTTTCTCTGATAAAAAAATACCACCTTTGATCTGAGTGGAAGACAAAGAGATGTATGAAACTGTAAAGAAAGGTCTATGCCAATCCTAGACTTAACAACACTTCAATAAGAAAAGCATCTAACGATACACTTTTTTGTACCTTTGACACCTTGTTTTCTGGGCTTTTGTCACTGTGTCACCCAGGACAAACAGTGTCTCCATTTATTCTCTCTCTCCAAGAAGAGAATAAACCATTTTTGTCATTTAAGTACGAAAGCAAGTTGCTTGGTGAAACCAGGATGTAGTATGGAAATCAATGTGACACACTTGCTATTTTTCTAGAACTAAAGATATCCCCTTCCTCTTGAACTAAACTAGAATGAGGTAGGTAGCCGTGTTGGTCTGATGCAGTAGAAATATATATTTTAAAAAATTAAAAAATTGTCAAGTAGCACCTTAGAGACCAACTAAGTTTGTTCTTGGTATGAGCTTTCGTGTGCATGCACACTTCTTCAGATACCTCTGAAGATACCTCATTCTAAACTAGAATGATTAATAAAACAAATATACAGCCAGGCTTTCTCGAAATGTTCACCTGTCTGATCCAGTTAGGAGGGGGGAAAGTCGATTTAATCTGTGCTGTTAAGCAGTTACCATGTGTACTCAAATCTCCGAACTGCCAGGAAATTGAGGCATTTAAGGGTCTCGTGGCTACGTGGGGATTTTAATCCCAATCTCCTCAGTTCATACCCAATTCTGACCACTGCGCCATACCGAACCTCTTCCTACATACCACGCTTCCCTATTGGCTAATGCCAGTTAAAACTTGGGTGGTGCATTAAGAGCTCCACTCCCTGCCTTAGTTAGGTACACTAATGGATGCCATCCCTCTTTGAACAAGCCCCACTTCTGTGTTCAGTCTCCTGTGCCTGACTGGCCAAGGCTCCTACTTTGTAGGAGGAGCCTGTTGTTAAACATACAGGATCCCTTTCACATGGCTGCCAAACACAGGGCTGCCAAGGTATATAGCTCTGTGGTACATTAGTGCTGGGGGTGCCAGCATGGTTTGTAAGAGCAATCCTGCATCTCCCTCCCATAACTGCTGAATGGAGAGGGTATCTGGAGGCTATCAATGGCTGCTAACACTGATGGCTATGTCTTACTTCCACTGGCAGAGGTAATATGCTTTTGAACGCCAGTTGCTGAAAACCACAGGAAGGAGAGTGTGAGACATCTGGCTGGCCATTGTGTGAACAGGTGAAGAGAGAGAAAAAAATGAGAAAAAAGGGGAGAAAAAAATTGCTGAAGGAGAGAAAAAAGAAAGGAACAGAAACAAATTTACATACATATTTTTGGGGAGGAGGGAATGGATTCTAGGCCAAATTTAATTTGAAGCAAAGCCTCGATTCTGTCCTCTTACATAAAAGGTAAAGGGACCCCTGACCATTAGGTCCAGTCGTGACCGACTCTGGGGTTGCGGTGCTCTTCTCGCTTTATTGGCCGAGGGAGCCGGCGTACAGCTTCCGGGTCATGTGGCCAACATGACTAAGCCGCTTCTGGCGAACCAGAGCAGCGCACAGAAATGCCATTTACCTTCCTGCCGGAGCGGTACCTATTTATCTACTTGCACTTTGATGTGCTTTCAAACTGCTAGGTTGGCAGGAGCAGGGACTGAGCGAGGGGAGCTCGCCCCGTCGCGGGGATTCGAACCACCAACCTTCTCATCGGCAAGCCCTAGGTTCTGTGGTTTAGACCACAGTGCCACCCGCGTCCCTGCATTCTCTTACATAAGGTGCATCTATTTTAGGAGTAGATCTCATGCTGAAAGAATGGTCACCCTCACAAGAAAGAGAGAAGATTAAAGAAGGCGCAGGTTTGCTTAAAATCGGCATATGCTGTGCCAAAATCCCAGTGGAGCAGAAAAGATTATTTATGCATGTGACCACAGCTGCGTGGATGTCATTGGCCCAGAGATGGAAAGAAGATGAAGTCCCAACCAGAGAAGAATGGCAGATTAAGTTGATGGATTATGCCGAAATGGCAAAAGAAATCAGGAAGACCAAAATCTTAATAAGAAATGGGGAAAATTTATAATTGATCTTAAAAATCATTGCAAACAGTTAAAACTGTTAGTAGGATTGGAATAACACTTGCAGTTTAATGGTGAATTTTGGATATAATGGAGTTGTAAAAGATTTGGATTATTATAAAAGATGCAGGAGGAAATGACTAACGATAGGAGCCACGAAAGGGAGGAGGGAAGTCCAGGAGATTCTTTGGCATCTTGTTTTTATGGTGTATATTGGATATGTGATTGTAAAACTTTAATTTGAAAAACCAAATAAATAAATTTATTTTAAAAAATTAAAAATAAAATCTGCCCGTGCTGATTTATATGTGTGTGAGCAAATAAAAAAAATAATTTCTATAATTTTAAATAGAAACACAGTGTGTCTCTCGCCATAGTGGGAAAGGCTATGACTGGATGCCCTCTCTGTTTGTTTCCCAGGTGCGCACAGTGTAGTGCAAGGTCTCTGCTCTCTCTCCATGTGGCTCTTTATCTTTAAGCCTCAGCACCTCAGCTGGGCAGCCTTTCAAATACCAGGCTCTTGGAACTTTGCTGCACATTTTAAACAAGAGAGCTTATTGCCTGCTGAATTGTGCTTTTAAAGATTGCTTCTGATCTGTGGATAACTTGAATTAAAGTCTTGTGATCCTGGTCTTGTGCTTTGTGGCTACGGCTGTTAGCTGCTCTGGGTTCCAGCATGTGGAAGGATGGAATTTAAGAACAAGAAACGAAGAAAGCACAGCTGCAAATAGAGGACTTCTCCATGTAAAATCAGATGCACAGCCACCCTCGGAGGAAAGGAACACTCCCAACCATTTGGGCAATGTTGTGCAAATGCTTTTCCTCCATTTGTAGGCGCTGTCCCAGCTTCATCACCGCTCTAAAATGGAAAAGGAGGTGTGCCAATGCCAACAAAAGACCAGGGCACTTTACAAAGGCCATTCTATGATGCTAAGACTGTCACTAGTTCTCAGGAGGGATTCAGACACACACCAGAACTTTTGGTTTGTACGGTTGAAGTGGGTTAAAACACACTGGCTGCATTCACTTAACAGTTTATTCCATTTTCATGATGTTACCTCCCACATTATATTTGATTCACTTCTGGAATGATAGTGGAATATAGCACAAGTTCAGCTCTCATTCAGTGGCATACCAGGGGTTGCCAGCACCCAGGTCTGCATGGAGGGGTTGGGAGGGAGAGAAATGGATGGAGTATACATACATTCAACTGCGTAATGGTGTCCACATCACCCAGAATATTGCAGTCGCAGAGATAAGAAGAGTCGTTCCATTGTCTGGAGAGGTCGCTTCCTGGTTCGTATGGAGAATCGATTTTTAATGGAGCCCAGTGACGGAAGGGAACAGCTGTATTGAGGCAACACTGAGTGTCGAAATTTTGCGCCCCCTACCAATTTTCCGTCAGGGGCAACTGCTCCTGTCCCCTCCCATGCTACACCCCTGCTCTCATTTTCATATTATTTGCAAAGATAAATACAGTGGTGCCTCGCAAGACGAAATTAATTCGTTCTGCGAGTTTTTTTCGTCTTGCGAGTTTTTTCGTCTTGCGAAGCACGGTTTCAATTTTTTCAAAAAAATCTTCAAAAACCTCAAAAAAGGCTACCACACCGCGTGCTATGAGTTGCTCCCCGAAGTCAAGTCGCAACTGCACCTCTTCAAGCAATGCACCCTGTATTACTGTAACGGTTTTAAGAAAAAGGAAACAAACTTGCAAGACGTTTCCGTCTTGCGAAGCAAGCCCATAGGGAAATTCGTCTCGTGAAGCAACTCAAAAAATGAAAAACTCTTTCGTCTTGCGAGTTTTTCATCTTGCGAGGCATTCGTCTTGCGAGGTACCACTGTAGGTACCACTCCGGCAGGAAGGTAAATGGCGTTTCTGTGTGATGCTCTGGTTCGCCAGAAGCAGCTTAGTCATGCTGGCCACATGACCCAGAAGCTGTACGCCAGCTCCCTCGGCCAATAAAGCGAGATGAGTGCCGCAACCCCAGAGTCGGTCACGACTGGACCTAATGGTCAGGGGTCCCTTTACCTTTACCCACCCACCTTGCCCTGGAAGCAAAAAACATGGAAATGAGCACACAGCTTGCACTATATTCCACTATAGTTCCATAAGTGTATTTTAAGCTGAGCAAAAGCTCAAATATAATGCAGAACACTTAGGACTTGGCTACATTAGCAAAGAAAAAGTGTTTTATATGCATTATAACACCACGGCAACAGATGGCGCTGTGGAGTCCCGTCTTTCACCAACGTGATTTCCCATAATGAAGTTTACAGTGTGTTTTCCTGAAACACTTTTTATGTGTCTAGATCCAGCCTTAGAGGAAAGCTGTGAAAAGAAAATAAACTGCCATGTGAACGTAGTCTCAGTTGTCCTAACATAGCAAATCTGCTTTAAGAACAAAAACAAAATGGACTTTGTGTAGTTAAGAAACCGACAGAGAAAAGCACCCAAAAGCATGGAATGGAGAAATGATTCATGGGAAGACGTTTAAACACTCCAGTAGCAAATCTGGATGAGTGCTCATTGCCTTATAAAATCAGAACGAAAGCTCACTAAAGACTGGGCAACTAGCGTTTAAGCTTTGCACAAGTAACTCAAGATGAGTGCTAACTAAACATGTTGTCATGTGGAGAAGCCTTAACACATATGGTTGTGCATCATGACCAGGTTATGTGAGAATGCAGGATCTCACCCAGTGGTGAAGCTGCATGCTCCACTACCAGGGGCGGAGAGCAGGCAGGGGTGTGGCTGGTGGCCCCCGTGGGCGTGGTGCACATTCCTGGGGGGCATGGTGTGCATCACATGGCGTGGTGCGTGTTCTGGGGCCGTGGTGCGCTGCCTGTGGGGGTATGGCGCCTGGCGTGCGCGGGGTGTGCAGCGCATTTCCTCCTACCTGAATAGTGGTGCCGGAGGCGGTCCACTCCCTCTGCACTCCCGTTTCTCTCCCAGTGATCTCACCCCATGCGGAAAAAATTGTTAGATCTGTTTATGCATAACTGTCTCTGGATCAAGGTAATGGCGGAGCAGTATACATATCGTAAATCATTTCGCTTTGTTATTTTTAGAGTGTTCAGAAACTGATAAATGTTAATAAATTGATGAGTTTGACTAACACTTGATGAACACGTAAGGCTCTTATATTTTATTTTTCTTTAGAGGAACTGTGCATCACAATTTTCACTTTGGGAGATTTTCTTCTTCCTCCCTTACTTCTGAAAGATAATAAGCTTTTATCAACTTTTTTAAAACCATGAAAAAACAGTTTCAAAACTCACCTAGTCAAACTGGTTTTCAGTGAAGCCATTTATCATCTTAGCACTCAGTAAATTGGACTGGATCTCTTAGCAGAAGTTGAGCTTTCATCACATTGGAAAAGGGGAAGAAGGCAACCCCCGAGTGTTCCAGAAGATCAAAGCCTACATCCTTTGCTTCCGCTATCCAGCCTACAGCCATTTAATGCTATGATCATATCAGTTCCTGAGTTTCACTAACTTCAGATACCTGCTTCATTTTGACTGCTGACCACAGGATATCATACAGACGAGAGTGATGGAGGAGAATTCAATATACCTGGTAATAACCGTACATCCAAGGACATTTTTCCCCCCAAAGTCTATCAGTAGTAATGCAGTGCATCTCTCATAGTGTGCAGGTGACCTGGGTGCTGGATTGGGTCTGCTGTGGTCCCTCTGCTACAAGGCCCCTCCTCTCCCATCTTCGTGTTCATTGTTTTCATTAGTTCCATGATAAAAGCAAATTCCTAGTACAGTGGTACCTCGGGTTACATACGCTTCAGGTTACATATGCTTCAGGTTACAGACTCCGCTAAGCCAGAAATAGTGCTTCAGGTTAAGAACTTTGCTTCAGGATGAGAACAGAAATCGTGTGGCGGCGGCGCGGCGGCAGCAGGAGGCCCCATTAGCTAAAGTGGTGCTTCAGGTTAAGAACAGTTTCAGGTTAAGTACGGACCTCCGGAACGAATTAAGTACTTAACCCGAAGTACCACTGTATTTGTCCTGTTCCATTTCTCAGCTACAAACAGTTAAGGGCAGCCTCCCAGAATGTGTTTAATAGTGGCTTGTTATGAAAAATGAGAGGATCAATGAAACCAGCATCCCATCTCAATGGGAGAACTGGCACTCGCAAAGAGAAGCCGAGAGGCCCCTGGAAATTCCAGACCCCTCAAGAAATAAGAATTAGAAAATGGAACGATCAATATATGTTCATTTCAAAACACACTGCTTTAAAATTAAGAAAGCAAGAGTAGCTTCCTAGACTTCAAATGAGAAAGTGAAATCCACCTAAAAACCATCAAAGGCCATTCCTGCAGGTGTTTTATATCTGTTTATGAAGAGATAGATGATAGATAGATAGATATATAGATAGATAGATAGAGAGAGAGATATGGTAGATAGAAGCTTGCTGGGGACATCTAAAGCAAATGCCAAACCATTATTTTCTGTCTGGTAACAAAGGGATAACCCGTTTTTTATTCCGCTCACACAGAAAGGGAACTCTTGTGACACATTCTCTTAATGAAGAGCCCTGTTACTGCAATGATCCTTAGATCTCTACCGAACGTCTTTGCCATCTCAAGATATTCCACAAATGAGAGAACTTGGAAAGCTAGTCAATAGCAGCAAAGCTTGCAGCCCTTATCAGCACTGTGGTGAATGAATTGGCATTTGTACTGTAGCCCAGCCATTATGCTTATCTTGAGGGTGAAATTTGATATAGGACGTAGAAATACCGTTTCTGTCCACCCTGAGCACAGCTGAAAAAATGAACGTGACCAAAACTTTTATTTGATGAAGGTTATATGGAAAGGAACTTTGAGTACCAAAACACAAAGCAAAAATCATTCTAGGGCTTGAGAACCACTTCACATATGCCTAGAGATGTAAAAATTCCGGAAATTTTGAAGCCATGGGGGGGGGGGGGACACCCCATTTTTCCGGCTTTTTTCCAGGCCTTCCCATCTCTCATCCAGCCACTGAAGCAGTCCTCCATAGCTTCCAACAATTCTCCCTTGAAAATAGGGACATCCTATTCTATTATTATTATTATTATTATTATTATTATTATTATTATTATTATTATTATTATTACCCTGCCCATCTGTCTGGGTTGCCCCAGCCACTCTGGGCAGCTTTCAACAAAGATAAAAACATGATAAAATATTAAACATTAAAAACCTTCCCTATACAGGGCTACCTTCAGATGTCTTCTAAAGTTTGTATACTTCTCTCTTTGGCTCAGGGGTTGCATAACTCCATACCCTCCAACATTTCTCCGATGAAAATAGGGCTGTTCTAAGAAAAGCAGAATATTCTGGGATCAAATCAGAAACTGGGACAGCTTTTGTAAATCCAGGACTGTCTCTGGAAAATAGGGACACTTGGAGGGTCTGGTCTTCTATGTACCACTAATCAACTTCATCTACTAAATAGGTAACAGGAGCAATCGAAACCTCCTAAACCAGGCTGGGTGGGTGTGTTGCATTAAGCAGAAGCTTCCCTCCACCCAGCTCTCCCATGGCTAAGCTGGCATATGCATGTTGAGGGATCTCCACAGCAGCCAGTGGAAGACTCTGAAATGGGGCATTCTGAGGGCAGGGATTGGCTGAGCTAGCCTGGAATCTATTGGATTCCACAGCACTTTCACTACTGTCATGTTATGGCATGGGGCTTGATCTGGGCCCAATTGCTGCACCAGCTCCAGGCTGCTGGATGTAGCAGGGCTGTATATGTGGCAGTGGGCACTGTTAGAATTCCTGCTCCGTGACTGCAGTCATGGGATTTTTGTCTACCACATGACGGTGTATGTTTTGACTCCACAAAGTGTGGGAAGTGACGGAGACAGGATGCTTGTGTTCCGTGAAGTGGCACTATTGTCCTTTCTCTTTGCTGTCTGATGCTAGAGAGAAAGGGAGCCATGTTGCAGTGCTCCGTGTGTGTTTATATGTAAATAAAGTAGATTAGCCAAAATGCTGAGTTGCTGAGGTCTGTCACACAAGCTGCGAAGACTCTGCAGATCCCTAAGTGTGCCGATGTCTGTTGGCATCAGTCGCTGTGATGTTTGGGCAGAAGAAAGGTTTTGAAGCTCCCGAACGATCGACCAGGAGGGAGGGAACATGTCAGTTGGGCATGTGTCTCTACCAGGGTCCTATTTGAGTGTAGGACGAGCTCCTAACAGGCACATCACTTTGTGCAGCCCCACTGGCAGGGAAAGAGGGCTTGGGTTGCAGTCCTGCTCTGCACATAAACAAGTGCCACAGCTTGATATATTCTGACCTTCAACATCATGTGCTCAAGAACTTCAAGGTGAAGATTGCTTATTCCCAGGACATCATCTGAAGGCGCATGATGCGTCAACCTTGCTGTGGTCAAGGAGGTCTGGGTCTCTTCGGTGCCTGGGTGGAAGGCTGCCTGCCGACCACCTTGAGTTCCCTCACAGAAGATACGCTGGCTACAAATGCAATAATTTAATATTGCCAGAATGGTTTTCAAAATCTTCATGGCTATAACAAAGAAGGGTCACTCTGCCTTTCATTACACTGGGTATCGTTATGGCTGTGCAACAGCTTTTCCCAATGGCATCCTAAATAAAAACACAACGTATCCCAGAAAAAGTCTGGAATAGGAAAAGAGAAAAGAACAAAGTTGAACTTTGCCCTCCACCGCCTGACTTAATTAAGCAACTGCAGTAGCTGTGCGCACAAACAAAAATCAGCAGCTTATTCCCATTTCCCCTTAGCCTTCCAAGCGAATTTGGCATGGATTTTGCGGGTGGCAGAGGCAAGTTTATCAGAAGGCATAAGGGAATTGTTTCTATTTTCTCCTGGCGCTTTTCTCTCTTTTTTTGCATATGTTTTGAAAAGTGACTGGTGAATCGATCAAAAAGCACCCAAAGGGAATAGGAACGGTTTCATTTTGGCAGTAATTAACTGATTATCATTTTAGGGCCCGATTCCCTCTGACAGCTGAGTCTTGCAGGGCATTCTCCAGTGGTTTATGAGAAGTAACGGATGATATAACCAGTCTTGAACTTAATGCAAGAAAAAGTGATTTTCTTATATTGTAATGGCAGATGGCGGAAATCACAGAAAGGTAAATGGGAGAGGATCCAGAAACAATCAGGTCACAAGCAATCTAACCCTTGCAGCACATATTCTAAAGTTGGCAGCCACTATTTGGCTGCCTAATGCGGCAATTGCTCCTTGTGGAGGTTGTAGCATGGAAAATGCCACCCACCTACAGGATCTTCTGGCAGTAGGCATGGAGACTTATTGTGACATGGTTAATTGGTCTGACTCTACACTTAATGGCTCCACACTCTTAATAGTTTTAATGGTTCTACACTTCTTCTGTTGCCCTTTTTTTGTTATATCCAAATCATTTTGGGACTATTGGCCGGAGTATCTGCAACGCCCAGCCAGACACCACCCACCCATGCTGATCTTTGGATCCACTTGGACAGGACAGAGTAAAAGAGGGTTTCCTATTTCAGCTATGTCTTGCTTGAACAACAAGGTCTTCCTTTACTGAATAGCCCAGGGGTGGGGAAGTGGATCTGACCACTTACCAGTCCATTACCTGATTTCACCATCAGGTGGAGTGCTGGCAATCAGCTGGTGAGTGGGACTTCAAAGCACAGCACAAGGTTCTTTGCAGAGTGCTTTGAAGTCCTGCTAGGCAGCTGATCGTCGGCGCTTCGAAAGCCTATCAGTTCTGAAACACCACCAATCAACTGATCTAAGGGGCTTCAGAAGCACTGCACGTGAAGTGCTGACAAACAGCCAATCAGCAGTGCTTCAGAAGACTCTTTTTGGCCCAGTCCAGCCACCGTTGTACTTTTTTTTACAGGTCATATATAGCATGCCTGCATGATTTGGCCAAAATTGCCTGATGGTCCAAATTAGGCCCATGGACTGGAGGTAATCTTCACCCCTGATGTAGCCTTTGTTCTTTGTTCCTGATTTCCAGCTTGCTTCATGATCCTTGTTAAGTTGTGGGTGAACATATCAGACGACACAGCGATTCTTCAAACAGCTCTTGTTTATTCACAGGCCAGAACAGAACTGAACTGAAGGGTTCAGCTAGCCTGCTTATGTAGAGCTCCACTAGAACGCAACAGTAACCATTTTCTGTAACTATCCAATCACTGAACGTCACTTTCGATCCCTTATTTGCCTATGCGGACCTGAACTATCTACAGTATCCCCCTGCTGGCCCAGGGTGAGAACTTCAGTACATAACAATCCTGCCTTACAGTTTGCTCCTTCTGTCCTGGTTTTTAAGTCATAAAATCTGGTTTGTTCCTCAATTCATCCTCCTGTGTCTTGTCCTTTGGTTTTGATTTACTCTAGCTTTGTTGCCCAGCATTTGGTTCTGGTCTCTAAGGACATCTCAAACTTCTGCCCACATCCCAGCCTTGGCGATCAGTTATCCTAACCAGCACAGCACACAGGCCCAATCCAAACCCATAATCCAAGTGGTAATTTTCAAGCATTGCTTCCATCCGCATGCATTTCTGCAGGTAATGTCAGAGTTAATTAAGCCACATCCAACCTCCTACCACCCCTCCTGTCAGCCTTTACAATGCTCATTAATCATGAAGCTCAGATAACTAGGCTCTCTCCTATGGCGTGGTGCCCCTGGGAATGTGATGCTGAGCTACTGCTCTGACCTTGGCTTGAAAGCTGTTTGGGGCAAGAGCCAAGGTGGAAGGAAGCTAAGAGAGCAATGTGTTACTTTGGGCAGGAGTCAGCATTAAAGAACACCATGACTGTGTTGCTCAGTTACCTTTACATGTCATGTCTCTCCCATCTAAGTAGACAGTATTGTGCCTTAAGCAGGTTGGAGCAAATTTATTCTGAGAACTCAAATTCACACACCAGAAAATCTATGAATTTCACTGGGGAACCTTTCTCTGTCCAAAGTCCGCATACGTTTGCAGGCAACCCTTCTTGGCATGATGGTATATAATTTTTTGATGGAATCTAGTAACAATGAAAAACAAGCAATATATAATTACTTATAACCAAACCAAAAGAATACAAACACGATGTATGCTGACAAAATATCAACCATCTAAACCTGATATAGCGCACACAAGTAGTTGTTGTTGTTGTTGTTGTTGTTGTTGTTGTTGTTGATGATGATGATTTTATATTCTACCTTTTTCTCTGACATGACTCAAGCCGGCTTACAGATTAAAAACAAGAATCATTAAAAACATAGAAAAAAGCATCGTTAAAAAAATAATTAAACATCAATAGAATTAGAACTATATACACATATAAAATCTGTTTAAAACACACAAATAATTACAATACCAGCAAATACAAAACGAAAACAAAAAACAATAAAATGGTGGCTCCCCTTTACTTTTCATATTTGTTTGTTTGTTTGTTAATTAAATTTGTACACTGCTCTATACCCATAGATCTCAGGGTGATTCACAACATAACAACACAATAAATAAGAAAAAAGAAAATACATAAGAAAAACAAAAACAACCGCAACATTCCCTGCTTCCGCAAGACATTTTAAAAGGGCATCGGGTGTCAATCAGCCAAAGACCATACCAGTCAGATCAGAGCTATAATTAGGAAACACTGGCATTTAGTGTAGAACCATGCCTAGCCTTGGTGGGTGGAGAATTGAGAGGTAATTTTCTAAATAATAATAATAATAATAATAATAATAATAATACAGTCATACCTCGGGTTACAGATGCTTCAGGTTGTGTTTTGTTGGGTTACCTACCTGCCGAAACCCGGAAGTACCGGAACGGGTTACTTACGCTTTGCACATGCGCAGAAGCACCGAATTGCATCCCGTGCATGTGCAGACACGCCGCTGCAGGTTGCGAATGCTGTGGGTTGCAACCTGTATCCCGCACAGATTATGTTTGCAACCCGAGCGTCCACTGTAATAATAATAATATTTGTACCCTTCCCATCTGGCAGGGTTTAATAGGAATTGCAATGTTGGTGGTGATTGTTGATCTGAAGGAGAATTTGTCTAGACTGGCTTTTCAGTCAATGGTCTAAAATGTGTTCAAAGAACACAAAGCATTGATCTCCGAACCACAATGGAGCGACATGGCTTACATCGACTATAAGGCAGTGGCTTTTCATGCTTGCCATTTGAAATAAAGAAAACTTTTGATGATACAAGTTATGGCTTGATCAATATTAGCACTCTCAACTGATGGTAATTGCACTCCGATTGATATTAGAATTACTAACCAAAAGGCTTCAGATAGATTAAAATTAATCAGGACATGTATTCTTTTTCTTCACAAGGGGGGGGGGGAGAGAAACGAGGCCTGGGAAACCCTTGCAGCCTTCCAGTGGATGAAATATGAATGCACAGGATATATTTTCTGTCTAAAGCTGTGTGGTCAGAAGATGGCAATTATCGAGATATGTGCAGAGCAAAGTAACAGTCAGTGAATCATAAGGACATTTCCCACAACTGAATTATATCCTGCTCCAGGACACAGCAAAGTATTGGAGACAAAGCTGAACAAACTATCTTTTTATATAATAATAGATTGGATCATAAAATCCGAAGAGTGTCAGTATCTTTAAACACCCTGTGGCCTTTTCTCCAAACTTCAGAGCAGTATCTCGGAATCAGTAATGGAAGTTGTGCTGAACAACCGAGGAGAGGGAGGGAGGGGGATTCCTATCGCTGCACTTTAGGCACCCTCCTGAACGGAACCAGTGGCGGGTGGTTCACTGACCCACCAACCTCAGCCTGCCCTCAGCTAGTGCCCTACTTGCCAGCCTTCTTACATATAGTAAGTCAGGGGGTGAAGGGTGCAGGAAGTGCCTGCCATTGGTTCTGTCATTACCTACTGTTGATCTCACTGAATTCTGCCCTACCAATCCCAATGCACACCCTCCAAGTTGTTGGAAAAACACCCGGGAAGGCCACCACCTTCCCCCCAAGACACCGGGGCATCTTTCCGGTGGCCACCCTCTGGCTGTAAATCTTCCTTAGTCCAGAGAGACCGGTGATAAGAGATCCCTCCCTCCTGAGGGGAGCACACTCATCTCCTCGCATCTCATAGCAGAAGAAGAGTTAATCAGTATCTCTAAAACTACTTTTAAAAGGTAAAGGGACCCCTGACAATTCGGTCCAGTCGTGGTCTCTCTCAGCATCAGTACAGAACAGCCTAACACACAGAAGTGAAACTAAACTCTCATGCTCTCAGGCACTCACATGATATAAACAACATAGTGCTATTTGCTGAGCAAGCTTGGGTGGATAAAAATCCTAACACGTGTCCCTATTTTCCTGGGGAAATCCTGTCTTGGTTTCTGATTTGATTCCAGAATGTCCCACTTTTCCTTAGGAAGTCTCTTAGGAAGAGAAATGTTGGAGGGTATGGTGTTATGCAACCCCAAGCCAAGGAGATAAGTAACTATACAACTTTCAGAAGACAGGCAGTCCTACAAAATGAAGTTTTTTTAAAAAATAATAATAATAATGTTTTATTATGTTTTTATATAAGTTGGAAGCCGCCCAGATGGAATATAAATAATAAAATTATTATTATTATTATTATTATTATTGAATAGGATGTCCCCATTTCCATCGGAGAAATGTTGGAGGGTATGCCAATGGGCACCAGCCACCACTGAACAGAACTATCTATGACACCTGGGCCAGCTGGGAAATACTTCATCTACATTAAATTAGTTTTCCTAGAAAGTGAGACCACCGGAAGAGCTGTCTCGGATCAGACAAAGGGTCCCAAGTCCAACATTCTGTTTCCCACGGTATCTGACCACATGCCTCTTGGAAGCCCAAAAGCAAGGCATGGAGGCAATAATTATTTTTCTCCAGCAACTGGAGGCCTGCAAATGGCTATCATGACTAATGGTCACTCATTGACTTTTTCTCTATGGGTCACCTCAAGAGAAGGAAGAGGTGCCACCATGACCCGCCAGGGACTTCTCTTCCTTTTCTTTCTCCATGGAGTTGGTAAGTGGAGCAAACAGGGAGGCACTCCCTAGTATTATAGAATACAGTACGCAATAGCAGAATGTTAAATATATTCTATTCCTCTGGTAAATGCTCTCAGCTGCTTGTGATTCTGAAAGTTTCCCCACACTAAAATGAATCAACAAGCTTCCCAATTTGAAGGTAAAGCGAGCACTGAAAGAGGCAAACGCAGAATCGCAAAGAATATTTAAAGGCCTTTCCTAGGGTTTCAGCTCAACTCAATATCGTCCACTATCAAATTGTGTTAATTAATGACATTAACTCAACTGAGATTTATTACTCCCCAACCAAGAGATGTATAATTAATACTCCTCGCCTATATATAGCTCTTTGTCACTACATTTAGGAATATAAGCCTCATTTATTCTAAGGTTATAATGAAAAAAATTGACTCGTGCAATTTTAATTGCTGTAATATTTTTCCCGATTTTTTGCAGAGTTTCTTGGAATTTGTTGGAGCCACTAGCTCCTCAGAAACCTTTCTACAACGTTCATTTAGCTCCTGTCATTTCTTACACTAAATACAGTGGGGGCTTGATGGCTTATTTGATACCTGCATCAATCTTAATTTATTTCCATAATTTCCTCTGACAAATCTGTTGATGCCATTGACATCCTCTGCGGCAATCATTCTCACAGACTCAAGGTTATTTTGACATTTCCCATGCCCATAACTCACACATCTAGGACGTAGCCCAATTCTGCTGTCTTTTACCCTTCATCATGTTCAATACCTGTCCTTTACTTACCAGCCTGTAGGCTGATAGTCTTCATTATATCCTGCTTTGACTAATGTAGCATATTGCTTTCTCCCTTTGCAGGCCTGTGTACCGTGCCACTCCACATCAAATATATTGCAGCCAAAGCATTCATCTTCCTGGTTCAATCCATTTGTCATTTTGCCCTGTCCTTTACATCTACGAAAGCCTGCATTTACCAGGTGACAATAGTTAAGATTCATGGAATCATACAATTGGAAAGATCATAAGCCCCAAAAGGGATGCATGCATACATTATTTATTTTTAGAATATTTACCCCACTTTTTGACTTTAAAATAAGGCGGCCATATGACCAACTTTAGGGACGCGGGTGGTGCTGTGGTGTAAACCACTGAGCCTAGGGCTTGCCGATCAGAAGGTCGGTGGTTCAAATCCCCACGGCGGGGTGAGCTCCCGTTGTTCGGTCCCTGCTCCTGCCAACCTAGCAGTTCAAAAGCACGTCAAAATGCAAGTAAATAAATAGGTACCGCTCTGGCGGGAAGGTAAACGGTGTTTCTGTGCGCTGCTCTGATTCTCCAGAAGTGGCTTAGTCATGCTGGCCACATGACCCGGAAGCTGTCTGCGGACAAACGCCGGCTCCTTCGGCCTATAGAGAGAGATGAGCGCCGCAACCCCAGAGTCTTCCGCGACTGAACCCAACGGTCAGGGCTACCTTTACCTTTACTATGACCAACTTTATGGAGGAGACCCCTCTGTTTGAAGGTCTGTCCCATCCAAGTCTACCTAAAGATAAGGGAGACAGCAAGAGGGGCCTTAAAGTTGCCCATGAATGGTGAACAACGCCTAGATTGCAGACTGAGCAGGCATACAGGTCATCATTGTCTTCCCCAGTATGGTGATATGTATTGTATTTCTATTTGAATTGAGTATACACTTAATTCAAATAGAAATACAATACATATCATAGAGTTGGAAGGGATCTTGAGGATCACCTATGTCCAAGCCCCCGTAATGCAGGGATATGCAGCTGTCCCATATGGGGATCAAACCTGCAACATTTGTGTTATAAGCACCATGTTCTAACCAACTGAGTGTCATCCTTCCTGAATTTGCATCTATACATACAAATTAGTGTGTGCACATTTTATGGAAATCTGTGTCCTTTCTGGGTGTGTGAAGCGTTTCCTCTTTTTCAGTATTATATACATGGCCACACTACCTCCAAGGCCCTACAGGAGGCTGATAAAAGTCACATCCAACTCAGATCTGCACTGCTTTCTTCAACCACCAACAAAGAGCCATTGGCCGTAGACAGACCAGTGGAGGATTCCTTGATGTGTTGCCTGATCTTCTGATGCCAACTGAAGGGGGCCTCTGAGGAAGCCAGGTGTAAAGGCTGCCAATGATGACTGTTCTTGGGAGGGAGGAGCAGAATGGCAGATGGTCCTAGCCAGGCTAACGGATGAGGCGTTGCTGTCTTGCCTTTCTCTCTGGTCCTGAACATGTGGGAAACCAAAAGGACTATTTCCAACAGGAGACTTTGCAGTTGACTGGGGTGACCTAAAAGAAAGAAAGAAAAAGGCAGCAATTGAAATGTACTTTGTGAAATGAACGTTACCAGAAGACATGTTCCCAATCATTTTCTGCCAGTATTTCTAATTAAAAATAGTGAGTCATGTTTGATGTAAATGTGCTCCTACGAATGTAATTTTACTGACATTGGATATGATGAAAAGGAAAAGAAGCCCATTAAATGAAAAGCTAAAGCTATTATTCTCCTGCCTGCTGTCTAAATCCCAAATGAATTACCGTATCTCAAGGAGTCATGAAACATGGAAAACACAAGTCTGCAACACTGCTGGTTTGCAATGACTCTCATGCTTTGGGCCTTTGTAGCTAAGAAAACTGGGATGGGAATTATTGAACAATAAAGTCATCATTTAAGAACTTTGCCTCCAGTGACTGGTACTCATATTTGCATGATCAGAAAGCGCTGATGGCTATTTCATCCAGCGAAGCTCTCAAAAGACACAAGCTGTTATCTTGAAATGAACGTTTTCAATGTCCCTCGCTGTTGAACTTACAAGATAGCTCTGGGAAAGGTGCCACAACATGATTTTAAATTATCCCTTCCTAAACTTGCCTTGAACACCCTGAGTTTCAGTCAAAATCCAGTCCTGAGCAATCTTTTGTTTAATTCAGTAGGCAGAGTCCCAAGACTATGCTGTGGAGAACCAAGCTTGAAATCTGGGTTTACAAGATACTCCGCTATTGGCCAGCCATTAGACCCACCTTGACTCTGCAATTAGGAATACATATTCATGTTTCCTGATGTACCGGGTTTTTTCAAAAGCTCTGAGAAGCCTGGAAGCTTGAGGATCATTTGATCCTCCTCTTCTCAGTTGGCATACACCACCATTGCCCATTTCAGACTTAAAAGTGGGGTTGCCTTGGACTATGCATCACAAGCATCACTATGGTCACATCTGCTCAATCTGCCAGAGCCTGTCTTCACATGCAGGGGAAGTCCCTAACTCACCGATGGTTTGAGACCCATCAGCTACCCTCACCTGGTTTAGTCAACCCATCAAAGCCATTCCCAAGGTGTGGCTGCTGTCATATGCTGGCAGCTTCTAGAAGTCACAGGTGAGAGCTGAGTGCAAGGTGGGGACCAAAGGCAGATAAACTACCCCAGAAGGAACACTGCATTTTCCCCAGCCAGTGGTGTAGCATGGGTTGCCAGTGCCCAGGGCTGCATGGAGGGGAGGTGGAAAGGAGAGAAATGGACGATGTAAGCATGCACATTCAACTGCCTAACGGTGTCCATGTCATTCAGGAGATCAGAGCCACAGAGATAAGAAAAGAAGAGTTGTTCTGTTCTCTGGAGAAGTCACTTCCTGGTTCGTATGGAGAAGTCACTTTCAACAGAGCCCAACAACAGAAGCACCCAACTTTATTGAGGCAGCACCAGGTGCTGAAATTTTGTGCCCCCTAACAATTTTGCACCCAGGGCAACCGTCCCTGTGCCCCCATTCTACACCATTGCCCCCACCAGAGGCACTACCCCCCGACTTCCATAAAATAAACAAGGAAGCAGACAAACCAATCCAGTCCTCTAACACCTCATACACTATATAATACGCCATATACCATACAAGAGCAATAAAATGTTACATGTAACAAGCCAAGATGCAGAAGCAGAGCAATCTGAAGCACTGCAAGGGAACATGACTAGGGCCATAGGCATCATGACTCAAGTCCAATCTTCACATTTACTCCACAACATAACCTTGTCACATTTTTCTATCTTTTGCAGGGTAATGGCAGGGGGAAAGAGGTGAAATTCAACTAGCATTTACCACATCAGAGGAAAGACTTGAGAATTGCCAGAGCCCTTGATATGCAGGTTTCACTTCCAGCATGAACTCACTTGAGTAGCCTTAGGGAAGCTTCCAGTCAGCTCCTCATTTGCAATATGGGTGTAATAATAGTAATGCCAGTCTCAGGGTTACTGAGATAATGCACGCACCATGTTCAGAGCACTCAAAAAGAGCTAAGTGTTATTATTCTAGGGCAAGTGCCAGCTATCCCTACATGGGGGGACATTCATAAGTAAATATTTTCCACATTAAACTGAAGAGGCGTAATCATCTCTTTCCTACTGTAAACCTGCTAGAAGTAAACATAGAACTCAGGCCCTAATCATGCCTGTGTTATTATTATAGAGCTGAGAAGCCGCAAATGGAGCCAAAGCACATTTTATTTATTTATTTTGGTCTCTTTACTGCAAAAGCAGGCCAAGGATGCCATACTCTATAGGCAGAACCCCCAAGTCTTGCTTATTTGCTTTCATTACATAATTGTTTTTCATAATTCATACAGAAATGAAACATTCTCATATTACACATTCATTTCATAGATGTCTCTCTTTCCAAAACTACACACAAAGCTCACCGCATAAGGGACTAGGGTCTGCTTTTCCAAAAATCAGCTGCCGCTGGCAGAAGGGAAAGCTCTACGATTTGGGTTCCTCTCCAGTCTCAAGTTCAGTTTTCCATGTTTCCACATTAGTTTGTATTATTTATTTATTTATATTTACAAAGTCCATATGAAAATCCGCCATATTAGTGCAAATTTCTCCTACTATTTTTTTGCAAAGCAGTTTTCCATAATGTGGCACATTTTTGTGCGTTGCTTTTATTAATGTGTGCATTTTATGTATTTTCCTCTAAAGATGTACTTCCGCACATATTACTGAGCTGGAAAATTGCATTTTGAAATTTAGAGAACAACAAATTTCTAAAGACAGCTGTGTTTCGGTTCTCATATTGCTTCAATTTCAGTAAATCTACCTTCAGATGTGAGATGAATTGCATTTCCGCCCCAACTACTTATTTACTTATTTATAGCTGCTTATTTCCAGTGTCAGCAAAGGAATACATTTTAAGAGAAATCACTCTTTACCTCTACGTTCTCAATTTCAGTGTTGGCCTTCTCCTTCTGGTTTCTAACGACAGAGTACTCTGGAAATGGTTTGATCTGCTGGCATCAAACACTTCATATCAAGTATTATTAACTGACATTTGGAACAGGAAATTCCCCTCCAGAGCTGTCACTGATTCATTCAGTTTCTATTTTTACTAGACAAGGCCTATCATTTCATGTCATTGAAGAACACAGCCTGCCTATCGGTGTCTAGTCACCAAACCTGATAAAATGTCATGCTTCTGTTTAGCCTACCATGCAACACTTGATGAGTCATCCACCTTTTCATGCATTTTCTTAGGCTGATCCTCTCTATTCAAAGTCCTGCTGGTAGGTTGCTCTTGTAATGAGAAAGAAGTGGATAATACCAAACACCCAAGAAACAGCCCACTCTTGATAAAGTGCAGCAAAAAGCAGAAAACCCTAAGCAAACTGGGAAGCAATGGGGTACTGGGAAGCAATGGGGATAACAAAAGATTAAACTTCTCCACGTTATACTCCCTGATGAACAACCTGAGTGGTCCAAAATTTATTGGGTATCAAACTTCTCCCCTACCCTTTGCTTAGAAGATCAAACCTATCTATTCTTAAGGAAATCAGCCCTGAGCGCTCACTGGAAGGACAGATCCTGAAGCTGAGGCGCCAATACTTTGGCCACCTCATGAGAAGAGAAGACTCCCTGGAAAAGACCCTGATGCTGGGAAAGATGGAGGGCACAAGGAGAGGACGAGATGGTTGGACAGTGTTCTCGAAGCTACCAGCATGAGTTTGACTAAACTTCGGGAGGCAGTGGAAGACAGAAGTGCATGGCGTGCTCTGGTCCATGGGGTCACGAAGAGTCGGACATGACTAAACGACTAAACAACAACAACAACACCCTTTGCTTCCAGCTTCCCCTACCCCATTTTTAATAAAGTGTCACATCCTCCAGATACATGAACAGCAAATTGTGCACGGACACTGGGCCTTGTCACCCATGAGGCATGGTGAGATTACAGCTTCAGGTGGCAAAATTCACAGGGAAGTGGATCCTGATGTATATCTTTATTCCCTCTTTGTTCCTGGTGTTGATCTTCACTCCCCCCTCCTTCTTCCCTGGAAGGGAAGAGGATGCCATTTTGTGGTTTGCCTCAAGTGCCAAAATGCATTGGGCCAGCCTTGTGCACACAGGCACACTCACACAGATACACAGTTGAAGTATATGGTGCCCAAGGCGAGCCACGTTACTATCAGAGGCAGAAACTGTAGGAGAGAAGAGTTTGGAAAATAGATTCCTACTCTCTCATAGCAGAGTCAAGCACACTGGCAATTGCTCCAAGCACATTAAAAGTTGGTTAGATTTACATCTGCTATCACCCACCTTTAAACAAATGTTCCCCACCAAAATACTTAGGCTAGAATAAATCACAGACACTTAGCTTTGCAAACAAATGGTTTTACTCACAGAATTTCCAGAAGTTACAGCAAATAGGACTCTATCCACTGTACCAAAACAAAAATTTAAAAGGTTCCAAACAACTTAAAAAGAAAAGTACTTGTTTCTGTACCTACGTTTAATCTTTGGGTTAGCAAAGATGCAGGCTTTGAAATTTCCCTTTTGGAGAAATTCAGTTCACTTGCAGCATTTGCTGAGTTGGGAGCCAAACCACATGGCTCTTTCTTCAATTGTTCCAGGAAGTATGAAGAAATGGGGAGAGGAGAACATAGGCTGCTGAGAGCCTACGAAGCCACACCCGCTTGCAACCTGAGCTCGGTGCTCAGGTAAACTCTTTCATGCACACAAGTGAAAGTCAGTAACTGTATATTGCAACAGAAAATCCTACAAACACCCCTCCCTATCCCCACCAGTAAAAATACAAGGATAATACATTAAAATATTAGCTATTTGCAACCCTTTAATGACACCCAAATTCAGCCACCAGACTCTGCCTAATGCTAGGGCCGGCCCTACAGCATCCAGGTGGAGAGAGCTGTGGAAACAGGACCTTTCAAAGCCTCCAAAATCAACTTAATATAACCTTGAGCCTGAATTAGCATGGCCTTCGTACCAAGCACCACCTGAGAGCTGTTAATTGGCAACACTTGGCGCTTGCATTGCAGAGAGATTGCATTTTCCAAGTGTTCGGTCTGCAATATTCTCTCACTTGGGGAAATGTGATGATTTGCCCAGCTAGTCGTGCTACTGCAGTGCTGATTGTTCATTCTGTGCTTGTTCAAATGAAGGAGAACAGCAAGTCTAGCTCCTCTCCCACCCCTGCATGTGCCAATATTCATTCCACTGCTCAGCACTTCAAAGGTATGGGGAGCTTGAACCTATTTGCATTTGGCTAATTCCAGGATCCATTGTATTCTCAGGGCTGTTCAGCTAGTCAGTAATGCTGTGTTCCTCATTTTTAGGAATGAAATACTTCTCTGAATTTATAGCTTTCATTGTGTGTGCCTGGTACAGGATTTACCTGCAG